ATGGAGAAGAAATTGAGCCTGTCATCGTTCCCATAGATTGAAGCTGCTCTGATACCATTTGTTGGAGAAATTAAAATGAAGAGATATTGATGGAAGTAGAAGAATATATTTTTTCTTGCCATTTCAACAATACATTATCCCTATTTATACTAGTGGTTACAAGTAGTTCTAGATTTCTCTATATATTCTAGAAACATCTATTTTTAATAAGCATTTACTTCAAAAGATAAGCATCCTAGAAGATTCTACATTAATACTTAATGGTGAAATAATCTAGATAAGAGAATACTCTAGAATGAGAAGCATTAATTTCTAATATTGATGATGCCACTGTTCTGAAAAATCAGCATTAGCAACTTGCTGGCTATTTCATTCATTGTATATATCTTTTCTTCTCTTTTTCCTCTATTAAATCCTAGATTTCCACATTTTTGCTATGTACCTGTCGTCAAAATCATGACTTTGACTAGATCTTTTTTGAATTGTGACTCATACATTTTATAACAAACATTTAAATTAATTATACATGTGATATTTTTTCTATAATCCATTTAATGGAACACTTATTCTTATTTGAAGCGGGAAGAGAGTAGAAGTAAAATTAATTATCAAATGTTTGTCGTGTATTCTTAAATTTTTAATTGCTAAATCAATAAGAAAAATTCATGCTATCTCAAAATTGTATTAAAAAAATTTAGAATGATTTAAATTCTTATGGTGGATGGAGATTCTTAGTACTTGAAAGTCAAATTTCCATTTTAATAAACAGAAGCCTTGGGTTGTTTTTGTTCCTACCGTGGAAATTGCTTAATTGTACATGCATTCGGGGGGGGGGCTATTTGGTTTGCTGCGCATGTCATGCCACATAAATTAAACCCCAACAAATTATGCAACCAACTCAGGCCATATAAATTACCAATGGAGTAATTTTTTTGACTAATTTTTAAATCAAATGAAAATAATTTAGTTTGCACATAAATATTTTACATCACATCAATTTTGTTTCAAACTAATCAACCCTTACTGCTTGGAGAGTTTTTTCATTTCACATAAGCTTGTGCTTAGTTTTTTTTTTTTAAATCTAGTTTTTATTGACTATTCATTTTTCAAATATGCATTCGTATGTTCATGCTTGTCCTCTAGTTTAGTAGAATCTCATGAATTATCTTTTCTTCAATTTTGTAGAATGTGGATTGGGATTCCGGAAAGCCATATGTATATCACTGTCAAGTCTGATCTAATGGAGAATTCACATTTAAGGTGATTTGCATTCATTCAAAGAAGCTTGTAGTTATTGGCCTTCAAAGGAATTTTTTGAGGCAGTTTTTATCTATTTTTTTAATGTTATATAACTAGAAAGTGGATGGCTTTCGTCAGGGACCATATATTCAAACCACAGGGACTCGTCTTCAAAGGGTGTTGGGTGATGATAATATACTTTTAGTGAAGTTTGTGGAAGAAAAGGATAACAATTCTGCAAGCAGCTATGAAAGATTAAATCCTTTCCTCCTGAGGATTGCAGAAGATGGTATTGCTGTTGGTTTGCGCCATTATAAATTCTTTGGTAATTTTTCTTTGGCAATTTGTTTGTATACTGCTGAATTCCTGGATAAAGCAAGTGTAAATTCATTATCCTTATCATTGTGATGATTATCATATGCAGTTTACCAGCTTTCTCTCTCTTTGCGCCATTATCCAATTTGTTTGTTGAAGTCTGCAGTGTTACTATTCTTTTTCTATTATTGCACATCAATGGCAATAGATGACCGAAGGCACTTTAAACATTTTCTTATTCATTATAGTATGTAGAATAGACTTGACAAGGGTCCGACTGAGAGCTTCCTCAATGTGATTATGCATGCAAGATCAGTCTTTCCTGGGATTTAGTTTATTTTAACCTTACTGCGTTTGATGTTATATCATGGTCTTTCGTGATATAGGGTCAAGATTTCTTACTGGAGAAAGATCTTATGCTTAAATATTTCTCCTAGTTGCATGAGAGCAATTTTGATTAAGGAGATTTCTTAGTCTCAATTTTTTGCTTGAATTTAGCATTTATGTTTGTATATGATTGAATAGGAGGTAGTTTGGGTGAGTAGAGCCATCAAAATTTCATAGTTTTGTCTCTCTACCTTTACTATTGAACCCAATTTTCCACATTAGAGGACTTCGAGCCAAATTACTTGATCAACGACCATAAGTTGCCTCCATTTAGATGTCTAGGACAGATCAGAGTTAAGATGTATGTTGAACATCTTTTTATGATTAGCTTAAGCTTTTTATTGCTAGAAGCTTATTATACTAACTTAATTGAATGGTTGAAAGCCACACCATATGGTCATTCATGGTTCAGGGGTGCGGGACTTGATTAACAAGAGCTCAATGGCATGACATGGCCATAACTGTTTATGAATTTTGTTATGTTGAAGTGACATGGATAGTTTCAGTTGTTTTAATTTAGATTGATGAGTTTATTTGTATGAGAGGTTGCTTGGGTTTTGTAAATGGGTATGTTAGCATGAAAATTGACCCTATGTCATTATTATTATGAGATTGATTGTGGGCTAGGTCTTACATCCTAGAGAATACCTAAAAGTGGCTTGAGTTCTTGTAATTAATATGAACTTGACTCATGGTTTTAATTTAATTAATTAATGGACTTTTTGATTTTGTGTTAGCCTTATTACTTTAATTTGTTTAATAAGTTCTATTAACATATGAGGTAGTTGGATTAATTAGGCCGGGGCTTATATTTGAAGGAAGATATAGAGGTGGGACTCACAATCTAGATGGAACGAAAAATTATAAGTATGACTAATAACTTTTTTTTTTTATTTTTTTATTTTTAAGTATGACTTATAACTTAATCCCACTGATGGAACTTGCAACCTTGGGGGTGAGACAAGTTTAGAAGACTTATAATTTTAATGCAGAGTAGGCCCAAAGAGAGACTTTTTAGTGGGACTTTCATCTTGGACCATGATTTGAGATTTGTCTTGATAGGCTTGCTGGCTTTAATGTATGCCTTGTTAGTTGGGCTGCATTAACATCCAAAGAACATAGGGCTTATAAAACGGCCTTCAGAGAAGGCTTGGAGGTGTGACATAAAACTTAAGGATGAGGAAAACTTAAATTACCAAAACTGTCAATGTTTATGCTTCATTTATGGACACATACGCTATTCATAATAATTCATTACCTCTTTAGCACAATTTATGGGGGTTCAGTGGCAGGATGTATCACACCCCAGTTTGGCCCACCCCCAACGGTCAATCTGGAGTATAACAGAGAATGAAATAAATCTATTGAAACTCTCATAATACTTCAGCATATCAACTTTATACTTAATAATAGGAAGCATGTAATGTACCTCAAGTAACATCAAATATAATCAAGGTAAACACAAAGCTCTACTAATATTTTTAAAATTTACTTACATACCCAAAAGTCTGCACAAGTATCATTCACATCTCCTTTTAGATCTCTTTGTATACCCAAAACATATATACACTCAAAAAGAATAGTCACCCCTTTTAATGCTCTATGGGCTCCTTTCCCTTACCTGCAGTATAACCAATGCTAATGAACCATGGCTCAAGAAAATACACAAATAATGTACATTAAATAACCATAACATTGTTTACAATTAATTTAAAACAAAAGTAAATTATATATTGGTCATAAGAAATGCATAATTACTTTCCATCTTACTCATTGTTCAACATTTTAAGCAAGCCATATGATGACTACAAGCTTTTGTACCCTTTCAACTTTCCAATTCAAGGTTGGGTCTAGATTCCCAATTTTTAGAATTGAAGTTGCTCTCTCATTCAAGGTTGAGTCCAAATTCTCAACTTCTAGAACTGAGAGTGTATGCTTACCTTGTCAGGTCTTCCGCATTTACTTGGGCGAGCTTATCCTCCATATATGACTTAAATCACTATACTCTCTTTCGTTTTCATAATCATATTAACAATTCGCATACATAAATAAAGTGGAATAAATTGAAATAATGCTATCATAAATATAATAGATATGCATTTGCAAATGTATAAAATTTTATTATTTTCTATGCATCATTTGGTATCACACCTCGTCCTCTAGGATAGTTGGGTGATGCTCTCCGAAACCCCGATCTCTTTTTCGCTTATAAACAATCTAAGCATAAACATTTATCTTTTATATACATTCTAACACAATTTCAAACTAATAACAAAATTTAAGCTATATAAAGAAATTCTTACATGCTTACCTCAAAACACTCTTCCTCATTCAACTCATAAATTATTCCTCTACTGAAATCAGCAAACTGGTTTCAACACACAAAAATGTCAACAAACGCAACATTCAGCCTTCATAAATTCTTTGCTAAAATATTGAATTCCAGTAAACCCCTTACCTGTTTTTCACTCTGATTTCCCACCACCTAAAATTCTGCACACACTATTGTTAAATTCCGCACACACTATTTAACAAAATGCCATTTCTATCAACAACATACCCATTTCAAAACCCAAAATCTGAGAATATAACTACTATTTCTTTCAGGGGCTATTTGGCAACAAGTGGGATTTAATAAATCGTGTAAATTCGAATTTAGTAAATCCCTGGATTTAGTAAATCCGCAATGTGTTAAATCCTAAAAACTGTTTGGTATGTTAAATGTTAAATCTTGTTAAATCCTGAGAAACTGTTTGGTAACATATATCAGGATTTATGGCGGTTAGGGATTTAAGTTTAAAGGAGATATTTATGAAATTAAGATCATTACATAAAACATAATAAAATCAATTTTAGGTCATATAAAATGACCGAAAATTCAATACAAAGTTAATTACAAATTAACATGGACCAAAATAAGAGTTTAAATTTTAAATAAGCTAATTATATTAATATTTAATTACTAATTATATCATTAATTTATCAATTAAGTTAAATTAGATAATTAATTTATGCACTAATTCTACTATTAATTATTTAATTAAATAACTTAAATTTAATTAAATAACTTAATTATTATTTGTTTAAATTATATAAATTAAGTTAATCGATAATAACTTTGAGGCATCTAGGTTTGTATTTCATCTTTTCTTTTTGTCGTTGCTGTTGCTGTTCGGCTTCGTTGATTCGCAGGAGGTGTATAGATTGCACGCGCCGCTACTGCGGTTCCTTCGTGGATTTTCGACTTCGCTCCTTCGGCTTCGTTGATTAGCAGGAGGTGTACAGATTGCGCGCGTCGCTACTTCGGTTCCTTCGTGGCTGTTCGACTTCGCTCCTTCGACAGCTTTCCCTTCTTGTCGGATCGGAAGTTGACATTTTGATCGGAAGCAAGAACATGAGCTCGCTGGCTGTGAAGTTAACTTTCTCCCTTTCACGTGCTTCTATTGTTAAATCCCGTTAAATCCACCGAACCGAGGGATTTAGTAAATCCGGGATTTAAGCCGTAAATCCGTAAATCCAGAACGCGCGCACAAAAACCGTTTGGCTGGATTTAGCGTAAATCCGACTTAAATCCCACGATAAATCCGATACCAAACAGCCCCTCAGATTTTTGGAATCTTACACAAATTCCCACCTATATATGCAGATATATTTTCATTACCTGAGCAAATGAGCACTTCAAACTATAGCTTACACCCACACAACAGTCCGCCACCTTCAATTCCCTGCTCTCTCACCGCCAGCAAGTCCTTCTAGCATCTCCTCCCTTTCATTTCGTTGGCTGCTTTGGAATTTCAGCAAACCTTCTCTTACTAGATCAAGAAATCCAGAAATCCAGAAATCCTTCAACAAATAACTAGATTTCTTACCAGTTTTTTTTCAGAAATTGTTGAAGTTTTATCTCCCAGCAGCTTGCAGCAGCTCACCCTTTCAGACTTTACACCTTTTTCCCACAATTTCATCTGCTTGCTGTTCAAGGTCCAAATGCTAGTGAGCAAATACCTTAGTGCTTATGTATTTTTTTTAATATTTTTTATCTTCTTGTATCTAATGCTCCACTAAACAATCCACTAAAGCATTTGGGAGCAAGCCCAGCCACACGATCAACTAGACAGAGATCCCATCCTTGCATGTGATGATTAGTGGGAAAGCTACAGTATTTAATAATAATGATTCCTCGAATAAGTCAAAGCTGCTACAGTAATCGATCTACAATATATTAATGAATTATTACTGCTAAATCAAACAGTAATGAATATATATACACTTAGATCATATTTTACATATGCTTTTATATGCCAAAATACTTGGAATTGAATGAAAAAGTATTTATAAGAAATTTATACATTCTTTTATTTTGAATATTTCGGATATTATAGGATGAACTTTTGAAGTGATTTTATACATTGTTACAGCTATTCAGTTATTTTGTAATTTGAATTTTATTCTAAATCTTTTGATCCGTTCAATCTATAACTTTTTATAAAATGATATTGTTATTCAATTAATGAGACAGCATTGACTAGTTATAAATAATTCAAATTTATATGCAATGAGTTTTGGTGCCATTTATTTACAAGATGGTTTCGGATTGCATTCTTCACTTGGATGGTATTCAACTGTCCTTACTTTCATTTAAAAGTTCTTAAACTTTGGTTGGCAACCCATAATTGAGAAGGAAAATTGGTTAGTAAGATGTTTGGTGTTCATGCTAGCAAGAGGACTTCTTTTGCTTCCTTTCCCATAAATCAAATTTTGATGGCTATTTGAAACTCTCTATGGCAGTAAAATATCATCTCAATGGATAAAGTTAGTATGCAAGAACTTATAAAATTTATCAATCTTTATACTAGTCATGAATTAAAGTGGCTCATTTCAACAGACATTCTTGGAAGATAATGCTCCCTCCATGTAGTAGGTCGGTTCCATGTTTAATGGGTTTGTCAGTTATATTTACCTTTGTGTGAAATCGAGTTTGTATTTATGTGTATAAATTGATTAGCTTATGACAAAAATATTTCTCTCGTCCCAAAGTGTGATACAATAATTTTGACTATGATTGTGAGAGAGAATTGAATTCTTCCAATGTGAATAAGGAAGTGCAAGAACATCTTGAAATTTAGATTCGTGATGATAAGCTAAATCCAAGGAATCTAAAATAGTAATAGGTTTGGCTAATAAATATTTTCTATGCAATTCTTGTTTGAGACCATAAATGAAATAATTAATAAGATTATATTAAGAAAGATTTGAAATTTTGAAAACAAGATTTTCAAAAGTTGTTTGATATTCAAAGACCGATGATTGTTGAGTTAATTTGGAGAGATTGTTATGTAATCTTCGTAGGAAGATATATGAAAACATTGTTTGTAATGACATCATGAATTTGGGCAAAGGAGTTTGGACTTTCATGTGAATCCATTGATACCATGTAGCTGCAGAATCTTGAAGATTAAATGAAGCAATTTTTTCACAAAAGTAATATGTTGTATTACGAAAATAAAATTATTCTTGGGTTTTAAAGATCCAAGTTTCCACATTGAATTTGTTAAATTGAGGAAGTTTGTTTTTCATATTTTTAAGAAAAGGCAAACCTGCATTGGCTGACGAGTGTGGAAGAGATGGAAATTGGGCAGCTGATTCAAGAATCCCGATGGATGGTGGTGGTTCTTGATGGGAAGAAGGTTGATGGTGACGGTCCAAGCAAAGGCTATTGAGGTGCTCGTCGACGGAGTCCATAAATACTTGAAATTGTTGTAATAATGTTCTGATGAAGCAAATTAAGCATCCTCTTGTTGTAGATATTTTTGAACTTCATAAAATTGTGACTCGTGAGTGGATTTTATGGTTGATGCAAGCAAAAATTTGAGAAAAGCCCAAAATTTTTGCAAGCAAAAATTAAACCTTCATAGGAAATAGAAGTTGCACACAAATACCCAAAAAGATACTTTTTATAATATAAAGGACGCTTACAAACGAGCATACAAATTTTGACTTACAAACGACACATAAACAACACCTTAAAAGCTTTGCCATTCGTCGATACATGTGGGGTGGTCACTTGCGACGAGGAGGTTAGAAGTCCGAGACGAAGGATATGAGGACAAGCTCGCGAGCTTTCCCAAAAAGGAGAGGAAGAAGTGGCATAGCTTGCAAGCTATCTAAGAAAACCCTCAGGTTTCTTTCCAAAAATCTGCACACAACTATCCTAAAAAACAGCCATAAACTCTCTATATATAGTTACAAAAGGGAAGACAAACAGCCACTTGAAACCAATAATTAAGGGGAAGAGGAAGGCCAAAAGACACCAAAAACAGCCCCTAAACAGCAGCTGAAAAGGCATCCCAAATATCAGCCAAATACTTCCCATTCCAGATTACAAGGGATGGAACTAGCAAAAACCGAAGAGGCCAGAAAAAGGGGGCGGAACCCCAACAAGTTTCTTCAAGGGAACAACAACAGCCAGGGGAAAACCAAGAGGGGAAGCACGGGAATAGCAACAACCAAAAGAAAACCGAGAAGACAAAGGGAAAGGGAAGAGACACAAGTCCACTATACTAATGAGCTACCAACTACACCAAATAAATGAGCTAAACTTCAGCTCATAATGAGCTTTTAAGTACAATAATTTCTCCAATTAATGAGCTAAATAAGTAGAAGAGGCTTATTAATGAGCTGATTTTAGAAGCTCACCAAAATTTAAAACCCAACTTGTTTTGACCCTCCCTTGCCTACTACATCAATGGTACGTTAAGCTTCTGCCAAATTTGCATTATTCATCTTGAATGGAATTGGATTACCAATTGTTCTCTTGCTGAATTGATTGGTTGAGGAGGATGTTCTTGATTTCAAGTACCTGTAACTGATAGAACCGGACTATTTTTGGAAGGAGAATCATGATCTTGATGCTGAAATGAGTTTCCAAAACCTGTCTTAGATGATGGCTCGATGGAGAGAGAGGAAGAGAACTGAAAGGCTACAGGCTTTGGTGAGGAGATCTGCACCCTTTGCTGGTTCTTGACCTGAATGAGGAAGGCTGCCAGCAGATTCTTTAGAAGGCAGCAGTTGACGGAAGATCTTTAGTTCAAATGGAGAGCTGTTCTTGAGAAAAAATAGTAGTCGGCTGAAGGCAGGCTACTTCTGGCGAGGCCTTAGACTGATAGGAATGCCAGGGCATAAACTGTACAGGCGGGGACATTTCCTGAAAACGAAGTGGCTGGAATAGTGAAAAATCTAAGTAATTGGAATGATGGATTCTTGGAATTAGCAGAAATCTGAAAAAACTGCTGGATGAACCAGCTGTTTGTTTGAGAGTATTCAATGAAAGCACCAATTTGATATGCTTCTTGATTGAATCAAGAAGGAGAGAGCACCTTTCAAGTTGGTGGAGACTTTTAGAGGAAGAAGAAGAGGAAAAAGAAGAGAAAACGGAAGAGAGAAAACTTGATTGTTTTTCCTAAACACGAATTAAAGCAAGTGGGCTTATTTATAGATTTGTACGAGTAATTAAAAAGGGACCAGGTGTCTAAATAATAATAAACCAGGTTACAATACTAAACTGGCTGCTATGGGTTCATTTCTTTAAACTATGGGTTGGTTCATTCTTTAGACCGATTCTAGACGGCCTGTACACTATAAGCTTTGAATTGTTTTCATGAGCTTGTTCTTCTGAGTTATGGATCCATTCTTCACTTTGTTGTATTTTATTTGCATCCAATGGAATATATTGATGCATAACGGTTCCCCTGGGAAACACTTAAATCCTGTTACTTAATAGAAATGAATGCACAAGAACACATTTTTAAAATGATTATGTTATTACTGCAATGAAAACATTTAGGATATGGATATCATGAAGATGTTAATGGATGCGAATTTCATTCTTTCTGTATGTTTGACAATTTACACTAAAATTTATGTTTTCTTATTATAGGCGAGCTTTGTTTCAAATTCCAGATCATGCATCTCAGATTTCTCCGAGTCATATTTCCTTTTCTTTGAAATTTTTCACTTTATTTTTATTTTCTCCAAAATGTAGTGATGATTGATACCTTCTTTGTTTGTTCCTTTCCAAATTTTTAAAGATGGTGGCAAAGAGGAGAAGAAGAAATCCCCAAACAGCATCATGTTGGGCGATGGATGAGAATAAACCTTATATACTGTTCAATAAGTCGATCAGTGAAGCACGGACCATTTTTATGCATGTACATACAGTTTCATCGTTAAATAAATATATGCTTAGGTGAGCAGCTTGTTTGATTCTGTACATGCATGCATGCAAAATTGTAATTGAAGATGAGTATGTTTGGATTTATTGTGCATTGGATTTGATCTAGGTTGACTTTTTGAATTAGTTTTTACTTAGCCAGAAGCCTATGACATTGAATTCACGTGGTTCTTTTTGTTTAATAGTATTATTCAAAATGCCTGCAGGTTTTCTTTGATATTGTCTAAACAAAAAAGTTTGATGTTAACCTTGCATCTGTTAATTTCCAAGTGATAGATGACATCCCATGCCGTGTATGCATCTTTATCCCGCTCTTCCCCCTACACAAAGAATCTAATCTTTGATGCTTCTGATGTTTCAATTCTAAATATTACCTCCCTTATTTAAAATTAAATATTGAGAGAATGTCACTGCTTGACAGTTATTCTTTCTTAGGTTTGGTTTTGCTTGGTTCATGAAATTGTGAATCACCTAAATAGTATTTATCATTTATCGGGATGAATATGGACATGTTGTATATAATGAAGATGGTGAACGCATGATTCATACTGATGGAATAGGGTTCATCTCCAAAGATCTGGCCTCGAAGTGCCCTAAGAATATTTTTAAGGGCCAGTGCTTAAATCCGAATAATATGAAGGTTAGGTTTGTATTGATTATTGACTATTAACATAATGAGATGCTAAAGCATATTGAAACTTATGTGCAATGAAGATATGAATTTTACAGTTTGGAATTCCATTTAGTCTCTCGTTAGAATATTTTCTTATAAAGAGGGTGGGCTTGGAGTAGTGGTTAAGTTACCTTTGGTCTATTCTAGAGCTCTCAAATTTAAGTAATGGCCCTTTCCCTAGACCCTTCATTAGTAACAACAGCTACATGGACTTCACCCACCTTTTTTTTGGTTTACTTGCATTGAATTTATTGATGTTGTTAAATTGAAACAAATTCTTCTTCAAGCTCATGTGTATATAATGGATTAAAACATTTTCTATGAACACGAAGTTTGCTGGAAAAGTTTTGCAAATTCAAAATAGCATAGTTTTTATTTAATAAAAAAAGCATTTATCCTGTTTTTGTTTTCCCTTGTGTTGTCAATTATTCAATGTAGATAGAAAAAAAAAAAAAAGATATGCTGTTTTGTAAGCATGTTCACTTTGCTTTTGCTTGTTTTGTAGGAAAAATAAAAGTCTAATCTCAGTGAAATGACATTCTTAGGTTATGTTTCAAACTATTAAAATAATTTTTCTACTAAGTTATTTGTTTTGCAGTTTATAATTGATTAACGTAACGTGATAAGAAAGGATCCTTCGGGTTCCTAGCATTCCAGTTGTTTTGAAATCAATATGTGGAAACCTATGATGCACTGACACTCCGCTTAAAGAAGGTATGTAGTGTCGGACACGGACACGTGTTCGACACTGCATGGACACATGTCCGACACGGCATTGGAGTGTCACAATTTAAAAAATTAAAACTAAAACCGGCACGAGTGTCAGACACGCTAATGTACATGCTCGGTACCGCTAGGTACATGCTCGATACCGTTAGGTGCATGCTCGATACCGTTCGGTACATGCTCGGTATCGTTAGGTGCATGCTCGATATCGCTCGGTACCGCTCGGTACATGCTCGGTACTGCTCGGTATCTTTCCATACAAACAACTTACGAACTTTAAAAACAAGTAGAATTTCAAAATTACTCTTACCCTAAAAATTTGTTCCGGGGGTGCTATCCCCGGAAACCCTCGCAGGGGCACTGCTCTTGGATCCCCAGCAGACCGGTATATTTTTGTATTCATGTTGTCTTATTATTGGGATATTTTGATTTCACTTCATACAAATCTTCATCTTTTATCAAGGAAAACCCCACTTTTATCAATTAATTGCTTGTAATTATCCTTCTATAAGAGTATGATTCTACTTCTATCCTACTTAAGGCTCTTTTTTTTTGTAGATTTATTCTAGCTCATCTTTTATAAAAAAAAAATGAATTATATTGTAGATCCTGAACATATTTGGTGGTTAAGTCCACTCTATCTGTCTCTATGATAGTAAAAGGTCATTATTATGTTGTTGATAATTATTTACCCCAATACCTGAAATTTCGTTAAGGATATTAGGCCCCTTATGAACTGGCCCAAGGCTAATTAAGAGAGGTGAATTAGTATTTAAAAAATATTTCTTAAAATCAAAGCACAAACCAAACCAAAATTCATCACAAAGAAAACACAATGCAGAAATTAAATGCGAAAATAATAAAGGAAAGAACATACCAGCTTTATAGTGGTTCGGTCAAACATTAACTTACGTCCACTCCTCGGAGGCACCCTCCGAGTATTGCACTAAAGTAAGTGTCTCTCCTTGAGCCCTCACAGCTAGGCGGAGAAGCCCTTACAAAATCACTTCCACCCACTACAGGAAAACACGGTATTACTAGCGCACAATATCTGCTGGCAACACGTAAAATCCGACGGAAGACCTTGGTTTCCGGCGCATTTCCGTCAAATTTTATTGCGCCGGTTTGGTGCGCATCGGAAAATGTCTTCCAACGTTTATAAGATGCCGTAAACCCTTCCGGTGCACTCTCTGACGCATTACCGGCGCAAAATATGATAGCCAAAATATCGTTTCCTAACCGATTATTCCAGCGCAATATACACCAAACTTTTACGACATATAAATCTGACGGCAAATACCGGCGGATAAAACGCTCAGATTTGCCATAACTAAAGCTAATATTTGTTTCCGGCACTATGGTTACGCCGAAAAATGCCAGCGGAGAAGACACCGTAAGGTGCGTCGTAAATAAGGGAACGACTTGCTTCTGACGCATTTGCCGCCGCCTATTTCTGGCAGAAAAAATGCTAGCATGATTGCACCGATTCATTGTATCGTCGTTTCCGTCACATTTTCGATGACAAATCTGGCGAAAACCTTTAGCAATAAAAAAAATTTCCTTCCCAGCCAACAATCGGATTTCCGCACCTGCAAACATATAGAAATACATACAATAACAGTTCCACAACACAGATATACAAATCACAGATGTCAAGAACTTCAATATATACTCAAAAACATAAATATCTATTAAAACAAAATGTTCAATAGCATCAACCAACTAAAAACATCACAGATTGTTCAATAACACAGATTCAAAGGAATAAACAAGTTCATATAACTAAACTAAAATACTCTGAATCCGTGGACTCCTCCTCAGTTGGAGCTACCTCTTTTCCACTCAACTGCTCCCTCATTTTGCGCATTTCATCCAACAACTGATTGTGTTGCTCCTAGATCTGCATTTAAACCTGTGCTTGCAACTGAACTTGCGAATCAACTTGTGATTTCCTTGTTCTAGCTCTGCTTGAAGGGCAGTTATTTGTTGAGTATGTAAGGACTCATGTGAACTAGATGTGAAGCTAGATGCAGTAGAGGAGGTCATCCCCTCGTATACCTGAGCTTTCACCGGCAATGAAGGCGGTGATCGTCGGCGACGTCCGGTGAACGTCAACACAGCTCGGCGACATCGATCTACGGTGAGCGATGCTGGGCGACGATGGAGACACCGGAGATGCGAGAGAAATGAACGAATGAAATGAGTATCCAGACAGGCTCGGGTTCAGAAATAGGGCTTTTGCTAGTGGATTTTTTGGCGTCCGAGACGCCGGAATAATGCCCGGTGCATTTTGCGTCGGTTACAAGTCGTTGAGTTTAAAATAGCTATTATATTATCCATAGAAAAGTGCACTGAACAATTTTTGCCATAAAGTGCATCGGTAATAATGAAATTCTAGTATATTCCGACATTACGACCGGCACATTTGACGTCGGAAGTTTTCTGTTACACTATACACCGAAAAAATTGTCGTCATCATTCCTTCGTATTATGCGTCGATACAAGCGTCATATTTACTGATACAAAATATTCCGCCACAAAATTCGACGGTATTCGCATGTTTTCCCGTAGTGACCTTCCCCGGTGCGGCGGAGTCGTCGGGTTCTTTGACACCAAAGAGATCTTCTTCTTCTGTGAACTTCCCTCAAAATAAGCTTTGCATCCGACGGTACTAAGGTGCAAGCTTTCCGGAGCAACCTTGTGGAATCCCCCTACACACTCCCTTGAGTCCCCCCTCACAGGATTTTCTCCCTCTCTCAAACTTCACCCTTTCTTCACTCCCTTTCAAGCTCTTTGTTCAAGTTTCCCCCAAAAGAATGAAGCTACAATGGCTGCCAAAGACCCTTACAAAAGTGCCTTGTCAAAAGCTTAAATCGAAGATCTCAAAATGAGTTCATTAATGCAACTTGCTGACTTTATCATCCTGGCCGATCAATACAAAATAAGCTCAATCAGCCAGGATTATTTAGGATGATCAGAAGAAAATTTATTACATCGTCCAGGCCGATACAATATCGTCCTGGCCAATTAGTTCAAATCTGAGTACAATCGTCCTGAACATCTCCCATAATAGAGTGTCTGATGTTAATCGTCTAAAACATCGTCCCGGTCGATCCTGCGATTTGCCTGGCCGATGTGATCGTATCAATCAGCCTTAATTACTTTCCATAATTACCAGATTAATTTAGGCATAATTGTGCTACATCATCAAGGCCGATGTATAGATCATCCTGGCCGATGTCCTGAAATAAAGAATACCTAAATTGATCATGACGGCTGATTCTTTCTGATTTGATCCTATCGACCTGGACGATACAAGGATCGTCCAAGCCGATCGGCTTAATGACGGCTGACTTAATGAGGATGATGCCCTAATTAGGGTTTTTATTTTTGAACCGATCGTCCAGGCGGATATAAATATCGTCCCGGATGATGTTACCAAAAATAGTAAACTCTAGGGAACAGACATAAAATTTTCTAAGGTGTGTGTGCAAAGTTACATAGCATTAGGAGCCACACTAAATACAATAGACACAAGAAAGGAAAAAAGGGTACAAACTGACTCAGACCTAGTCTACCCAATCTTGAGCTGGTTCCAATTTGCAGTCTGATCTTGTGGACTTAAAATGTTTGTAGATAAGACAGTCATAGAGAAATAAGAGTGTTTTCTATCATCAGAATCATAATCCATAAAAATAGATCCGCAACAATGCCAACTCCA